TTTTGTTCCAATTCCAATTTTTCTGTATTGTTTTTAATGCCGTGATAACTATGCATAAGGTCTTATCCACCTGAAGATTATTTCCTGAAAATAAATCCTATAAGTTGTACAAGTACTTAAAGACTAAGAGAATATTCAACACTTTTGATATGTATTGCCAACTTGTCCTCTAGGAAAGATCCTACCAATTTATACTAACACCAGCATTAAATTAGTGTTTATTTGAGCAGATCCTTTCTTACAATGAATATAATCCTTTTAAATTTCCCTTCTTTCAGCCTACACCATTGTGTTAATGAAGGGAGCCTCATGAGGCCAGTCATCTGAGGGTTGGGAATGAAAAAGTTTTAGGGGGAATCTTTAGTTTCTTTCCTTCTGTTTTCTATAATTTGTCTCATGATGGGTGACAAATAGAAAGTAAAAGGGAAGAAGGTGCCAGGAAAGTATGTGTGCAAACAAATAAGTATTTATGTTCAAACATGATTTTAAAGTATTGCTTGTTGTCAGAGATGCTAATTATGTGGTTTTCTATACCATATTTTATCCAAATCAGCAGTTTGCCTTGTTGTCTTTGACTCTTAATATGCAATGTAAAAGGACTAGCAACTTCTAGCCTTAGACATTTAAATCAGTGATTAAAACCTTTAAATTTATGACATCCCATTGCTAGTTAATTTTATAGTGTCAATGCTTTATTTAAAAACTTTCAAGTATTTATTTGGTTACTTATGTTATTTCATTTTGTGTCCTTTTACTTTGTTATAATTTATGAGGTATGGTATGCAGCCAGTCTAGTAGCCAGACTAGGATTCCAGGCCAAGCAGTCTGGCTACATAGTCTATGCACTTCACAGCATAGTTGAATAATGTCCCAATTCAATATGCATTTCTATCCTCATCACCAAGTTCACTGTGCCTTTCATCAACACCAAACATTTTTATAAACTATTTTTCTTGTATAACTTTTACTAAAAACTTCCTATTTTAGTAAAATTTGATAAGTTCTTTTTGAAATTGTTTTTCTTGACTACATTTGGTAACCCTAAAATGTAGACTTAATTTATTAGAAAGTAGTAAGTAGCACACTGAATGGTTTTCCAGGTATCAACTTCGACCTTCTATCACCAGCCAAACATTAATAGTCTTTCTCTAGTTATACACAGTTTCTCATATAACACGCTTCGATCCAGACAGTAACAAGAAACATCCACATTTGATTAACTTCATCTCTTCTCTCCCAGGATGTCAGAGGAAATTTTAAACATTGCCAGGAAGCTTACATAATGAACAACCTAAAGACACTTATAAGTATTTCCTTTTCTTATACAAATAAGGGGCTTTAATATGATCTTATAAATTGAGTCTGTAGTAAGTCTATAGAATTACAAGAGCTGTCTTCTATTGTTTACATGAATTGATAGATTATCTCTTGCAATAAATTATATTACAGGTAAAACTACATGAAACCCTAGAATTAGTCTATACTCTTGTAAGATGAATGAATAGTTTGTTTGTACATGTATCTTGCTGATGATATCATGTTTTCTTAAATTAGGTTTTCTACATTTAAAATGTTATAGATTATAATATTTAGGTCAATTCCCTTAAGTCCTTAAAAGAGCGTACTATAGGGATACTGCTACATCAATGTTCATAGCAGCACAATTCACAGTAGCTAGATTGTGGAACCAACCTAGATGCCCTTCAATAGATGAATGGATAAAAATATGTGGCATTTATACACAATGGAGTACTACTCGGCACTAAAAAATGACAAAATCATGGCATTTGAGGGAAATGGATGGCATTAGAGCAGATTATGCTAATGAAGCTGGCCAATCCCTAAAAAACAAATGCCAAATGTCTTCTTTGATATAAGGAGAGCAACTAAGAACAGAGCAGGGAGGAAGAGCATGAGAAAAAGATTAACATTAAACAGGGACGAGAGGTGGGAGGGAAAGGGAGAGAGAAGGGAAACTGCATGGAAATGGAAGGAACCCCTCATTGTTATACAAAATTACATATAAGAGGAAGTGAGGGGAAAGGGAAAAAAAAAACAAGGGAGAGAAATGAATTACAGTAGATGGGGTAGAGAGAGAAGATGGGAGGGGAGGGGAGGGGAGGGGGGATAGTAGAGGATAGGAAAGGCAGCAGAATACAACAGTCACTAGTATGGCACTATGTAAAAAAGTGGATGTGTAACCGATATGATTCTGCAATCTGTATACGCGGTAAAAATGGGAGTTCATAACCCACTTGAATCAAATGTATGAAATATGATATGTCAAGAGCTTTGTAATGTTTTGAACAACCAATAATAATATAAAAAAGTGCTATGAAAGGTTACCCTCTAAATGTTCTGTATTTCTCTCCTTGTTAAACAATTATGTTCTTCTGTCACCAGTGATTTCTCATACTTATTTACTGTGTATCAATACAAAGGCACGCCCTAAAGAATAGATGTCAGTTTGATCACAACAAATAATTTTACAAAGATTACCTCAGGATTTGTTACAATCATGAAGTATTTATTTATTTATCTTGTAAAATAGAACAAAGGAGAAAGAACATGGTATGAAGATCATAATGAAGAGTCTTCTTTAGAAGCAAAGAATTTTTAAAATGTGTTTAAGTTGGTAATAAGTTTTGTTGTATAAACCATATACATTATACCAACACCTAGGACGTTAACTAATTTTTTCCCCCAGCACTGAGGATGGAACCCAAAGTGCTAGGCAAGCACTCTATCACTGACCTACCCTGCATAGCACAATAACCAATATTTATGTTCACTTAAGGTTCCTAACACAGTCTTTTACTCCATTGTAGGCATAGTTCTGAACCAACATCAGTGTGAATTCCACAATTTAATTGGAACAGTGACATAATTCATTCTGTGAAAAGCTTCATAGGACTGGGCTAAATATTAACAATATTCCTATCTGCAAGGCTGTCAGACATTATTATTTCTATGATTTGAGTCCTTAAATTTTTGACAGTTTGTGATGTCAGTACTCCTCTTAACAATTTATGGCTACATTCAGATTCTTAATGAGACCTGTTAATTCTTCTGCCCCATTTAAAAATGATTTATCAAAACTATTTTCTTTTTCTTTTTAATATTTTTTTAGTTGTAGGTGGACACAATATCTTTATTCATTTATTTACTTTCATGTGGTGCTGAAGATCAAACCCAGTGCCTCACACATGTGATGCAAGTGCTCTACCACTGAGCTACAGCCCCAGCCCCAAAACTATTTTCATAGATCTCTCTTCTGGAGTATTTCTCCTATAAAGTGTCAAAAACCTCAAGATTGTTGTTCTTTGTGCTAAGAGAACTAAATCACCTGGTATTTGAACATTTAACGTTTTGGAAAGCAAGATTTAAGGTCTTCTTTTTGTAATAAGTAGTTTGAAAACAATCATTTTTCTTAAAAAGTTAAAATTTTGATATGACATTTAGTCAGAATGACATTTTAACATAGTGAAAGCATGCATTCAAAAACTCATTTGGTATTTTCCTAACTATATAGGTTTACTCAGTCTCTTAATATTATAAAATGTTCCTGGGCAAACATGACGCCTTTTGCTATGACCACCATTTTTTAAACTAACTCCTTTTGTTGCTTATTAATCAATGGTCATACTCATAAAAATCCCACAATTTGGGGAAAAAGAACCCCTGCTATAGGAAATCACTGCTATCAGTCTAACCCAGATGACTACTGGTGTTTTTACTGGTATCCCTGTGCCACAAAGTTAAAATTTTTGAGTACATACAACACATACTCTCCAGGTTTAAGTCCTAGCTTTGCAATAGCAGAGCTATTTAACTTTTGTTCCCTGGATTTCTTCATCTATAATGAGGATATTTCCATACCTCATATGGTTGTTCTGAAGGATTAACATAAGCTTCCTTAAACAACTGGTATGTGATATTAAATGCTAATTTTAGTCTATACAGCAACCAGAACAACTCTTACAAAATGTGAGATGCTAATTTGTCAAAATCCCTTTAAGAAATTTCACAATTAAAGAATGAAGTCTGGGGCTGTAGTTATGGCTCAGCAGTAGAGCACTTGCCTAGCATGTGCAAGGCCTTGGGTTTGATCCTTAGCACCATGTAAAAATAAATAAAATAAGGGTATTGTGTCCAACTATAACTAAAAAATATTTAAAAAAAAGAATGAAGTCTGAGCTCATTATGGAGGTTTGTAAGTCTGCTCCTCTGATTTTGTTCTGTGTTACTCTTTGCTTTCTCTATTCCAGTTACACTGGCCCCATCCTCAGAGATACACAGCAGTCCTAGTTGAAGACTTTTGCATTTGGAATTGCTGCTTCTTGGACACTTTTTCAGATTTTTGCACTTCTCTAAATATTGAGAACATATGTATTCTCATTCATTAATTCCTTGCCCCACTTTGTTTTCTTTATAGCACTTATCACTACAGATTGTGTGGTGCCTCTCTCTCCAAGCACAGAATTTTATTTTGTTATAGTCTTCAAGCATCTAAACACTACCTGACATTGGCAGTGCTCAGTAAGTACTTGCCAGATATTGGGCTATAAGACGAAATTTATTATTTTTTTCCTGAGGACTTTGAAAACCCTAACTTACTATGTATTTTTGTGTGTGTGTGTGTGTGTGTGTGTGTGTGTGTGTATGTTTGTGTATATGTATGTGTGTGTGGATACAAACATACCGATGCCCATACTTTCACCTGTTCCGGGTTTTTTCATTAGGACTCTACTCACTTTAGAAAAAAATTGGGCTTTTAGAAATAAACATAAATTTGCAAAGTTAAGAATAAGCAAGCACATGTTAAAACAAGTAAATATATTAAAAATTTTAGATGGAATAACCTCATCTTTCTAATATTCAGTTTTTAATATTATGTATCTACCTAAAAAGAACAGTGATTTCATGTCACATTATGAAGAGGTAATACTTGATTATAGTACATATATGTAGTTATATTTTATCCTTTTTTGCTTTTGCAGGTTAATGACTCCAGAAAGTGAGATCAGATTTGTCCACAAGGAGATGGGCATAATTCCAAGCTGGGGAGGGGCCAGCCGGCTGGTTGAAATCATCGGCAGCAGACAAGCTCTCAAAGTGTTAAGTGGGGCCCTCAAACTGAATTCAGAAAAAGCTTTAAACATAGGAATGGTGGAAGAGGTCTTGCAGTCTTCAGATGAAACTAAATCTCTAGAAGAAGCACAAGAGTGGCTAATGCAATTTGTCAATGGGCCACCAGAAGTCATTAGAGCTTTGAAAAAATCTGTTTGTTCAGGCAGAGAGCTGTATTTAGAGGAGGCATTACAGAATGAGAGAGATCTTTTAGGAACAGTGTGGGGGGGACCTGCAAATTTAGAGGCTATTGCTAGGAAAGGAAAATTTAATAAATAGATTTTAAAAATGTTTATGTACTACAAATAAATCTTCAATGATTAATATATATGAAAGTTAAATGATGCTAAATATGATAGAATTACTTTGAAGTCTGCTACTAAAATTCAGATTTACTTTTCTTATAATTTTTTGCTTAAAATTATTTGTCAATTCCTAAATTCTCATAATAGTTTTTAATCTATAACTGAAGATAAGCTTGCAAAAGGAAAAGCTTCTACATAAAACCTACTTCTGGAGCTGTTTTTCATAAATGTTTTGTTCTGTCTTACCTAGAAATAACTTAATGAACTCTGTTATTCAAGAAAAAAGTGGGCAGGGATCAAGAGAATATGAAAATAAGAAAAGGTATAATTAATCATTTCTGCTCTAAGCAGCTCAAGTAAAATTAGTGAGAAATGACCCTTTGTTTTAAAAAAATCTATTAATCAATCAGTGAGGAGACATGATATGGAACATCAGCTACCTAAATTATTCATTCTTTTGTTTCCTGGAATTTCTGTTTTAAAGATGAGATGTAAAGATTAATAAAGCATCCTATAACAAATCTGCATTTTTATACTAGATTTGTTTTTCTGGAAAACAACTTTTCTTCTTTTGTAACTAGCTATTTTTTAAAAGTAAATTCAATAAAAATGCACAGCTCAAACTTTTATGATCCTAGTAATTTACTTCTTTAAAAATGTGTTTCAAAGAGTTAAGTCCCAATTCTAACCTTTCACAAGAAGAAAACTTCAAATTAGTGAGTTTTTAATTCTTGCTTTTATTTGCTATTATATTTAATTCCATTTGAGTCATAGTAAAACTACCTTGCATATCCTAAATCAACATGATCCTGCTTTTTGAGTTCCAAAAATATAGTCAGACAGACTGATGTTTTGAGGACATTCTAGATTACATGCTAACCCAATACTTCCTCTCTTGCCAAGAAAAAAGTGGATTTTCCGACCTACAATATTGTATATAAAATGAATTTGTGTCTACTAATGCTGTTTTTACGCAAGTCTGCCATGTAATTCAGATGTAAGAACACTAAGTATAAGACTTACTTACTAAGTAAGTGCAAGACTGCTACAGAAAATATAAAACATTGGCTATTTAAGAACTCTTAAAATTGTTTCACAGGCTGTAGGTTTATTTCCATACCTACAGACTGCCTTACCGATTCTGTTTAAATATTCTCTAGGAAGAAATCAAACTTCAGAGCAGGTGACTATTTAAGTGAAATACAATCAGTTCAAACCACTACCTTGTTAGTAACTTTTGGCCACAAATATCAAAACTCTTTCCATCCATTTTCCACACTCAAACCAGAGACAAATTATTTTCAATAAACTCTAGTATTTATTAAATTATAAATTTTTTAATCAAAAAGAAAAATGCAGATCAAGAAAAACCTCAAACTACAAGGACTAGACAGCAAAGCCTCTGGGAACGCCATGAAGTGTGTTACAAAGATTCTGAAACATAAGTTATTAACTGTTTTCTTCACAATCCATTTTAATAACTTTACTATATAATAGTTGTTATTCTTCTATTTTTAAATCCCAAATTCACATCTATTTCCACATTAAGCTTCCTGCTCATAATGATACCAAACATCTCACAGGTGCCAAATTTTAGTAATGGTTTTATGCCAATCCATGCAGAAAAATAAGGTAATGCAAGAGTTGGATGACGACTATTAATGCACAGATAATATACACACACTGGCCAAAAGAACTAAAGAAACTTAAAAAAAAAAAAAAAAACAACTATAAAGTAAACAAACATCAAGAAAATGGGAAACTAAACAGCTCTCAACTATTAACACCCAAGTTCCTTACATTAAATAAATTTCTCAACAGAGACATGTTAGACGTTTTAATTTCAGATCTATCCTTCCCTCACCCCTTCCCACCCCAACTCCCCAAATGCACTACTAGGGATGAGTATAATGTTACGTGGGCAGAAATTTACAGATAACCATTTCAACCTTGAGCATGGAGCTGAAAACTTCTTAAATTTAAACTTCAGTTACTGTGCACTGTCCATCAGGCCTTCTAGATCTGACACTGACACTCACTGTTCCAGCCCCTGCTACTGATCGATCAGAAACTGATCGATCAGCTACTGTCTGGTTTACATTAGGAACCAAAAGTCTCTGTTGGGTCAAGGAGTGCTGTGCAACAACCACGGATACATCTTCACTATCACTACTGGCATCTGATTCGGTTTCTTCAATGGAGGTGTCAGGTACCCTGCTTGAAGAAGGTGATTCATGATCTTCTTCTCCTTCCCCCCTATGACTCCTTTCAGCTATGCTGTCTCCACTGAGTTGTAAATGAGAAAAAGAGTCTTCCAGAGAAGTACCTGCATCAGGGGATGGTGTTGCAGGACTGGTTAACTGGCCATCTACTGATGTTAGGGGCCTTGCAGAAGACACTGGAGGCTGAACAGAAGCTCCACTCTGTGCTGATATGCTGTCCGCTCCATCGGCAGAACTCTCTCTCGCTAGGTTTACGGTATTAGTGTCACAGTCCAGCCTAAGTCCAGCTACTCCCTTCTTTGGTATATCTATTATATCTCGCTTAATCTTCCTGCGACGTCCATGTTCATTTCTCCTATACTGAACCATATTTTCAAGATCAGCAACATACAGAAACCCAGCAATTAACATTTCAGTGTTCTTTTTACCTTTAGAAAAAGCATCTTCCAGCTCTCTACTAGTACGCTCATCATACTGCCACCACCCATTTCTTCCTTCATAATACCATGCATATTCACCATTTCCTCTACTTGCTGCCTTAAGTTCTTCTGGTGACAACAAAGTTGGCTTGTCAAGGAAATCCTCAGGAATTTCTTGTCGACAAAGGGCACATCGCTTTCCAAGCCACGAAGCTCCCTTTACACACAGATAGCAGAAAACATGCTTACAAGGCAGACTGACTGGGTGAACACATGTTTGCAGACAAATGGCACATTCAGGAACAGTTAGAGAAGGTGCAGTATTAGAACAGGACTCATTCGCTTTCCTGTTCGTAGGAAGCATGTTTATTGAGTGATCAATCTCACCACAGCCAGCCATCCTAAGAAAATGAAAAAAAAATACAATATTAAAATCATGTAAATTCTTCCAATATCTAAATTCAACAATTCAGAAAACATAAGTACCTATTACATGCATTACATGCAAGCCACATAGAACCAAATAGATTGATAAAACCAGATACACACATTTAAAAATGTACAATCCATTCTTGACTGACTACAATCAGACTAAAAACCACAACACAGCCAAAAATTAATTCAGATGACAAACAATGTTGAATCCTTTCCAGGATGATTACTATCAATTTTACAAATTATGCAATACATTAATATATTTGTTACTTCACAAAGAGGCCATATAAAATTAAGACTAAAGCTGAAATCCTAGAAATTCCCTACCTCTGTTATATATGTAAAAAAACATGTTTAACCACTCCTTTGTCATGCCTAGCCATTTCTTTTCTGTGAAACACTCTTCTAATGGTTTCCTTGTTGGCTTTTTCTATTTTTTCTAAACCCTATGTTCTTCTCACTGTATTCTTTTGAAATGATCTTATCTATACTCATGGCATCAATTACTACTTATATATAAATGATACAAATTAATTCAAACTGGACCTCTCCATTTGGTGTGGCCCTATATTGTCTATTTTAGATCTAATATATCTGGAAGGTACAAAGCTGAAATCATGATGTTTCTTTCTTACTCCCTAAAATAGCCTTCATGGTGACACCACTATTTGCTTATCCAAGCCAAAAATCCAACTCAGAAACTCTCCTCCTACATGTTTCCATCCAAATAAACCATCATTATATCAATTTTATCTCTCAAATTTTATCTCCTATATTTACCTAATATCCATCTCTACCTTCCCTAGCTATCAAGCAAACATTTGCTTATTAAATTATTGCATATGCCTTTTAATTTGTCCAGGCACAACAGCTGCTTATAAATTGTTTTTTAGGATAATAACCAAAATCTCTAAATCCATCATGCCCTGTATGGTCTGGCCCCCCACTTCCATAGGAGCCTCATCAAACTTCTCCTTGACCAGGCTTCTTACCAAACTGGCTACTCCCTGTAATAATGAGCTTTCCCAATTGGGAACACTCCTTCTCATCTCCTGCTTTCCACACCCCTTTTGATAAGCAAACTAGTATCCATCTTTCACCTCTCTTTAGAAAACCTCTATGACTAAGTCAAATAATCCTGTTAACTTCTTGCTACCACAAACTCCTCATTCTTTATCAGAATTGCAATGTAACATTTACTTTTGTGAAAATGAATGTTTTCAAACCAGATATTTGGGTTTCATTTTAAATAATTTTAACCTAAATTATCGGACCTAAAACTTTTTTTAAACATGTACTTAGATACACCTTGACAATATGTAAAAATTCTGTCAGTGTACGTATTGAAGCAGCACAATGAAGAACTGTATAATGAAAAGCTTCAGCCAGCCAATGAAAGGAGGATAACTAACTGAGAGAGAACTTACATAGTGAAAGCAATGCTAGACAAGAAATCTAAAAACCTGTTGAGTCTTACTCTCCCTTATTAATTATGTGCTCTTAGTCCTTCAGATAAAATTTTAGTCTAATTTCCTCACCTAAAAAAAATCAAGAGTTTACAAAGCTCTGGTAAGAATGGCCCTCCAAATACTTAATAATCACTAAAGCCCCATAAAAGTTAGAACCATATAAAATCATGGGAGAAAATGATACCACTAACAAAACTGCCCTGAAAATGAGGGAAAGAGAAATAAAAGGCAAGATTTGTCAAACTGGAAACACTGAACTTAAACACTGACATAAAAATTTGAACTTCTACCTTATTTTATTTGTTCAGATAAACAACATCCACTACACAGTCCATCTAAAGATGAACAAGACATTCACCTTATTTTTGTTTGTTAAATAAGGACACAAACATGCATGTAGATAATCACATTATGCAATAAACAAAATGTGTTAAGATACAAAGCAATGAGAGACAATGTCATTAGGTGGGTGGCCCTGGATAATGGAAGAGATTTCAGGCAGAGACATATGCAAACCACTCAATCATGTAAGCAGTGGAATAGCAGGAGATGGAACTGTAAATGTTATCAGAAGCCAAATAAGAAATATCTGATGACTTTTATTCCACAGTAATAGGAAACCAAGATATATTTAAAAGGGGGAAAAAAAAACAGGGAAGCAGACTAATGACTGAGAAATGGAAGTAAAGATTTCAGAGATTAGAAACCATTAAATATTTAAAATGAGTAAAAATTTCTCTGCACCAGTTAATTCTGCCATTTTAAAGAAGAATATTTAGAATATAATCACCATAAGGACCTTTGCTTTTTGCCCAAGATCAAGAACTCAAAATTAAGTTCAGTGGTGCCGGGTGTGGTGGTACACACCTGTAATCCCAGCAGCTTGGGAGGCTGAGGCAGGAAGATCTAGGGTTCAACGTCATCTCAGCAAAAGCAACATGCTAAGCAACTCAGTGAGACATTGTCTCTAATAAAATACAGAATTGGGCTGGGATGTGGCTCAGTGATCAAGTGCTCCTGAGCTTAATCCCCAGTAACCCCCACCAAATGAGTCCAATGATTATAAAAAGGGGATCGTCAATAAAAATGTTTAATCAAAAATTGAAAAACAGTATTCTTTGGCTTTAATCACACCACATTCAATCTTGTAATGATCCCATTTTTTACTGCTTTTTCTGTGTTCTTGTTTCCTTAAGAACTTACTAATAATGTAAATTTTAAAAAAGATTTATCTAGATAAATCTTTTTAAAAATCTAGATTAAAAAATTATCTAGATGAACATTTATCTAGATAAAGACACAACAGAGTCTCCATGGAAGAATTAATCAAAGAAATGCTCAATTTCTAAGTTCTTTTTCAAACCAACTCTAGGTTTATAGAATCCAGCAAAGTACAACTTTCCCTAACCCATAGAAAGTTCTAAATCAAGCAAATATGACTTCCGAATATGTATTAGGCACTGTAGGAACTTTAAAATATTTTTCCTTTTCTTCAAAGATCTTAAAACAACTTAAAGTACAAGTAAAGCACATGCTTCTTAATGGCCCAATTAACACCCCCATCTATCCCACCCTTCCTATCCCAAAAGAGATGGCAGTGCCCTCCACATTTCATCTCAAAAACTCTCATTCATTGCAATAAGTGAAAGAAATTAATTTCAATGAAATTCTTGAAAGTCTTTTTAAGAATTTCCCTATGTGCCCAAATTTCCAATTAAGAAAAAGAAACCAAGAAAGAAATCCATTTACAAGTAATCTTTTATAAATAAGTAAAAAGCCTGTGATTTGTGATTAAGACAAAGTGATAAAATGGGCTTTTGCTCATCATTATTTTGAAAAAATAGCAATATCTTACAAATAAATGTCTATATCCTAAACTATCTAGACCACCTGTAAACAAAGAACAAGTTTAAAATTTTATAAATTTAAATGGAATACAAGCCTGATAAAATGCAAACAAGATATCCAACATGTCACTGGGACCAATGCCATACTTTCAAATACATAATTCCAAACGTGTTATATTTGATCTAAGTAAAATTGACCTGAAACATCAGTTTTCCAACACATGCAAGTGGTTTATATATAGAAAAGAAAGTTTCCACTGGTTGCTAGGTGGCTTGCTTATAATCCTAGCAACTCAAAAGGCTGAGGAAGGAAGATTGCAAGTTCAAAGCCAGCCCAGCAACTTACAGAGACTCTATCTCAAAATAAAAAATGGGGGTGTAGCTCACTGGTAATGTGTCCCTGGGTTCAATCCCCAGTAGTATTTTTTAAATTTTTAACTAAAAACATTACTTTCCACTCTGCTTAATGTTATCAATATTTTGTACAACTCTTACCCTTACATGTATAGGTAAAATTAACCAACTTTAAAATGTAAAAAGCAATTATGACCACCCTAGGCAAGGCATGAACTATAAAAGCAATATATTTGGAAAGGTAAAACAACAACTCTGTGCAGATATTTTGTTTCCCTCATCACAATGAAGTTTACTTCATTGGAAAATTTTATCAGAAAACAAACAAGGGACACTGGAGAGCTAAAAGTGCATTATTTCATAGGAAACATTCTCAATTATCAATATGCAATAGCAAATTTTAAATTCTGATTCATTTTAGTCCACAAAGTATACTGCCGTCAATAACCAAATAAGAAACTGGGAGAAACATTTGTTAATACTTCTTATATAATTCTGGATGAGGCGTAAACAATAGATAAAGAAAAGATATTTAACAATGTAAAGATCAAGCAACCTCAAACCACTAGCCTATATATAAGACATACTTCAAGGCTGTTTTTATAACCATTTTAATCAATCCTACTGTCTCTATTTCACAAAGTTTCAATAATCTTAAAATAGGTGACAGCTCAAATGTATGCAGAGGTTCATACCAATATGTAAATAAGAAATGTTTCCTCATCCCTCCTTGTATAGAATAAAGATTTGGTAAAGAATTAATGCTAATAAAAAAGAAGTATTCCTGTCTAATAAATGTTGTATGAAACTCTACAAATCATTTTGCGAAAAAGGAATTTATTTCTAGGTTACTAAATTAAGAAAAATTCAACACAAGGAAATTTGTAGTTAATTTAACTCTGCTAAGGAGCATCAATTAGCACCTATTTTCAAAGACTTTCTTACTAAAAATTCTTCATGTGCTATTTTAACCTTCAAGGATTAACCCCATTCTTATTCCCATAGATAAGCCGTGGTAAATACTTCTGCAAGATGGTAAGTGTCTATCAACCCTACTAAGTCTTCTCTCAAAAAAGACAGACCATAAAGCGATAGTAGTGGAACTGATGGAAATCTTCAAGGACTCAGATTTTGTTGAAACTTCTTAAAGATCTTTAATTAAAAAGAAAGGTAAAATTATGATAAACACAAAAAGTCCTCAGCATATAAATAAGAACATTTTAGCCAGCAATAAAAATACCAATCAGGTGTTCACAGATGTTTACTTTTACTATGTTCAAATATAAACGTAGGACTATCACTTATTTATTATGTAATATGTGCCAGGCACTGTTTGAAGCACTTTATATTTAATGCTTACATTATCCTATAAAATAAGTCAATTATTTTCCTTATAACATATAAGGGAATTAAGAAAGTTCAAGCGATGTGTCCAAAGACACTGACTCACCATTATTAAGTGATTGAGACAGCTTCAAATCCACGTGATCTGACTCAGTATCTATTATCTTAATGCTACAGATTGCCTCCAAAATAACTATGGCCATCCAAATACAAGAACCACCCAAAATAATTTTAGAAAAGATAAAATTTCAAGAAGTTAACAAGAAAATTTGCCAACTAATAAAGGAATGAAAATTCCTGTCACTTGCCCAAAGAGCACTTGTGACTTTCAGTATTTCTCTTTATTCCCTTTCAGTTTTGAACTAAGGAAGAAAATATTTCATCATCTATTATGCCTATAGCACTAGCAAAGAGATACATCATCATATTTCCTATCAAAATGCAAGGGAAGAAAAGTTCATTAACACATGCCTTCCTTATTAGTTTTATGACAGGCACAACAGATACCAGAAGGAAATTGTTACATGTAGGAGGGCACAGGCGTATATTAAATGAATGAAATGTACTTTCGAAGAAGTGGTGCAGCAAAATCTTGTCTTTATGGTATCTTAATAGGTTTAGACATTTATTCTAAATACAATGGTTCTTAAACATTTTGGGGCTAGTTTTATCAGGAGTTTGATGAAATCTTATGTCAAATTTCAAGGGGTTAAAAGATCTCTATAAAGTTGATCCACACATGAATCCCTATAGCAGCCAGGGGAATTCACTGAAACATTTTACTTTAGAAAATAACAAGTTAATAATTTTTCAAAATTTTAGACAGCAGTCTGGAGAAAAGTTTGGTAGTGGGGGAGGGCAAAAGGCAACTAGAATTTATATACATCCAGGTAGAAATCCAATATAAGATAATGAAAGGGAGGGTGCCGACATAAGGTTCCAACAGTAGAATATAAGAAATGCTAAAGAATAGAAAAGATGGAGAGTGGCACTATTCTCCAGGATTCAGAATTTGAGGAGACTTTTGTCTCAGACACAAGGACTTTAAGATATTTATAAGGTTTCCAGGAGGAGATAGATAGATGATAGCTATATTTACTAGATTGGTATTCTAATCTAGACAGAAATCAAACTGCTAAAAAATCTGATGAGTCACCAACACATACCCAATTCTTGGAGCCATAAAAATCGATAAATCCCCAAATTAAACCCCCAAAGAGAGCAGGAAAAGAGGCCAAAGAACCTTGGGTTACTCTAAAATTTATAAATGAGGTATGATAGCCTGCAAGAAAGATGGGGAACAAAGAGAGAACATCACCACAAAAGCCAACAGTGGAGACATTTGCAAAAAAAACAAGTGTCAAACAAAGAGAAAACTATAAAAGTTACTGTGGTCAAATTTCAATTGATTGAACTGCATGTTGCAAAAGTTGTGAACTCCACATCCTGATTTGCTATTTTGATTTTCCAAAGACCATCAAGCCTGCTATGGATAACTTTTTAATTTAGCAAATACATCTTTTTTTCCCTGTCCCCCAGACTACTATAAAACTTTTCCAATGTCTAGTTTAAGAGATACTCTGACTCCAATGTCACTGAGAAATTACATAAGCCAAAGATAAATCTTCAAAATCTACCTGCATCTTTACTCTGCTTTATCATCATTCCTCCTGAGAACATGGTACTGCTGGTTGTTTTCAAAACTAACCCTTCAATTTCTAGTGTTAATGCCATGCCTTAACTCCTCCAAGACTCTAATATTTCAAAATCAATTAACATGATAAATCTAATGACCTCTTTTAATGCAATCTATTCAATACTATTGCACTAAATAATATTAACCATCTATTCTGTTTCTTAAACTTCATACTTTTCATTTCCATAATAGCATTCTCAATATCTTCTTTCATTTCTTTTTATCTTCTCTGGCATCCTTTAAATACCATTACTTCTCACAAGTGGGTAGTACTATATTCTATGCCTAGACAACCTACAAAATATTTCACGTTAATATATAGACCTATACGACTCTCAACATCTACTATCCAGAAATCTTCAACCTAAAGTCCATATTTCTAATTCTGTATTCAAAAGGTTTTCCTCAACATTCTCATGGTACTTGAAATATGACTGAAAACAACATTATCTGTTCCCCTTAATCTGTATCCTCTTTGTTCTCTACCTTGGATAACACCTGGAGCCACTGCTGGTGCTACCTTATTCCTTGGCCACTTCTCTCTCTCTCTCTCTCTCTTTTTTTAATACAACAGAACATTCTTTAAATATGTCCCCTTTATTCCCAAAGACTGTGACCCTAATTCTAGACTCCTGGACACACTCTTGTAAAAAATAGTAACCTTCAAACTGATTTCAGTCTTTTCTCCCTCAAGTCAATCATGTTTAATTAATTCTCTTTCAATTTTCAATAGTTTATATATATATATATATATATATACACACACACACACACACACACACACACATATATATATATAAAATTAAATTCAAAATCCTAAGTATTACCTTTCAAGACCATTGATGTGGGTTTTACACTGAAACAGACTTAGATAAAATCTAAGCTTTACCAAGTATTTTTAAAATGGTTACCTAACATTTTCCAAATTTACTTAAAGACAAAAATTACTGAACCCAAATGTTTTAGTTAGCATCTCGGAATCTGTACTTTAATAAAGTGCTCCAAGGGCACTTATTCTCTCTCAGTACACACTGACTCAGGCAAGTGACATAATCTATTTTTTCATCAGCAGGTGAGACAACTAGTGTAATATACAGTGATAAAACTCAAAAACTCAAATAAAACACCCAGTAAGCCCCTTGTAAAATAGTAGGTACTAAATAAACATTTAATTTCTTTTACTTACACTCTGAAATCTCTTTCTCCTACCCTACTTTTCGAAACAGGACTGTTCCCCAACCTACCTAAAATGCCCTGATATTAGACTGCTATATCCCTCCTCATTCCTTTGGCTTGAAAATATTTTCTAACTTTCTCTGATAAATTATAGTCATTTTTTAAGGCCAAACTAAAAGTTCTTCTGTCCACTTTCAACCACTCAGATGGGACTAATTTCTTACCCTCAATTCTAATAGCATTTTACTGTTATCTCAATATGACATTTAATTGCATACTCACACACACATATATACACACATACATTTGTCTCATATACTAGAACATAGCGAGTTCCTTGATGATCAATAGCTAGACTATCTAACCAAGAAGATTAAACAAAAAAATAGAGGCTGGGGATGTAGCTCAGAGGAAAAGCATTTGCCAAACATATACAAAGCCTCATCTTGTTCAATCCTCAACATAGGGGAAAAAAAATGATAGAATAGATTAACATAATTAAATAATAGATACATGTGTCCTAGTTTTTTTTTTTTAAAAAAAAAGGGTTACTGGTATCATTTTTCTTTTACCCAATTCTCAACACTAAGAATGATACGGTCATACTTTCAAAGGAAGTACAGAATCAGATATACTAACTAGGAGAATATGGAATAGTGCCTACAAGGGTTACTCTGGTTCAGTAATTTAAACACTATAATCACAAAGCTTCAAAAGCCAATGAAATGTGTGATAATTTTTTTATGACATCAAGTTAAATAATGTTCATATCAATTTGAAAGAAAAAACTATTATGTTCATTGTGGGAAATGTTATTGATGAAACACTGTGGGAAATGTTTCATCAATAACCATCAAGTTCAATATGAGCAAGTTCAGGGTAATCTAGCATTTTAAAGCATATTAAACAAAGACTAAATGACAGGAAAATAAAATTGTATATCAGAGTGAATTGATATGAATAAAAAGCAACAGTACTAATTAAAAACTCAGCTATGCTCTGAAGAAATGCCTTAAATTTAGTGAAACAAGTTTTTAGTAATTACTGTTTTTATAACCCAGACAGTTTCTTGTTTATAAAACCAGATACTGTCTAACTGCGTCATTTATTAAAATGTTAAAAGAAAGGTAGACCCTAGAGGCCCTGGAGATCTTGCCAGTTTTCTGGCCTTTAATAAGCAAATTCCTGTTTTCAGTTTCACTTCTTACAGAGATTTTTTTCCCCCATAGGATAATTTAATGCAAATAAAATTGCTAACTTAATAAAGCATCTATAAGCCAATACAAAATGCTCATTTGATATAATTAAAACTAAACATAACAGACATTTGATTGACAGTCTTTTATACCAAGCCATTGCAAGTTTTGAAAAACCATGATGCTATACTTACATTTCTATTACAGATTCCACAGATGCCTGCCACAAAAATAAAACATCATCTTCATCAGCAGTCAGCCAGATTGTAGTATATTCTCTTCCACTGCTGGTTCATTCTTTGTGCTACAAAAGAAAAAAAAATTCACTATCAATTTCTCTATAGACTAATCAAGATCAACAGAATTAGTTAATTATGATTGACCCTTTCACAAGTCTATGGCAAATCTTATCTTTAAAGTAAAAAAACAAAAATCAAAAACCAATCATGTGAGCTGGAATGTAGCTCAGTGGTAGAATGCCTCGCTAGCATATGTGAGTTTGATCCCCAGTACCAGAAAATAAATCAATAAAATGGGTATTAAAAAAAAAAAAACACCAAGGATGCCTGCTTTTTCATCACTGCTCACTGGATGTTCTAGCAGAGTAATTAAAATGGAAAAAGAAATTAAGGACATAAAAATTGCCAAGAAAGCCGGGCACAGTGGCACATGTCTATAATCCCAGCGGCTCAGGAGGCTGAGGCAGGAATGAGTTCAAAGTCTACCTCAGCAAAAGTGAGGTGCTAAGCAACTCAGTGAGATCCTGTCTCTAAATAAAATACAAAAAAATAGGGCAGGGGATGTGGCTCAGTGGTCAAGTGGCCCTGAGTTGAATCCCCAGTACCTACCCCCCCAAAATGTCCAGAAATAAGTTTTTTAAAGTGTCTAAGTAAAATTGTCTCTATTTTCTATAAATAGACAAAAGATTCCCAAAGAATCCCCAAGAAAGTTAATTATCAAGTCTGGCAAAGTTGTGATTACAAGTTTCACACACACACACACACACACACACACACACGAGTTTTGTTTCTATATCAATAACAGTCAACAATCCAAAAAAAAAAAAAAAAATCCATGAAGTGATTCCAGTTAATAGCATCCAAAAGAATAAAATAGCTAGGAATCAACCAAGGAGGTAAAAGACCTGTACATTGAAAATTATATTACTGAAAGAAACAAGAAGAGCTAAACAGGTGGAAAGAAAACCAGCTTTCATATATTTAAAGACTTAATATGTTAAGACAACAAATACTACCCAAAGTGATCTACAGATTTGACATTAAGAGGACCAATGTTATCGAAGTGATCTACAGATTAAATGTAATTCCTGTCAAAATCCCAGCAACATTTTTGCAGAAATGGAAAAGCCAATCCTCACATTCATACAGAATTGTAAGGAGCCCCAAATAGCCAAAACAATCTTCAAAAAGAATAAAAAAGTTGAACAATTCCCACTTCCCAATGTTAAGACAGAGGTCCAGGCATCAAAACAGTACAGTGCTGGCATAAGGACAAAGACATAAATGAAATAGAATTGAGAATCCAGAAATAAACTTTTACGTCCATTGGCAATTAATTTTTCAAAAAGGGTATAAAATCCATTCAATGTGGAAAGATTATTCTCTTCAACAAATGTTGGGACAACTGAATTTCCACGTGCAAAAGGATCAAGTCAGACACTTACTTTACAGGATATGTAAAAATTAACTCAAAGTAGATCAATGATCTAAACATCAGAAGTAAAACCATAAAACTTCTAAATGGGCAAATTTTCACAACCTTGGAATTGGTAATAAAGTCCTAGATATAACACAAAAAGCATAAGTAGCAAGAAAAACAAACAGATTGGATTTTATCAAAATTAAATCTTTTGTGTGTCAAAAGCCATTTGTCAAGAAAGTAAAAAGAGCCAGAGAGGCGGGCACACACCTGTAATCCCAGCAGCTACAAATTAATTCAAAGCCAGCCTTAGCAACTTGGTGAAACCATGTCTCAAAAAAAAAACTGCTGGGGATGTGGTAATACCCCTGAATTCAATCCCTGGTACAAAAAAAAAAGAAAGAAAGAAAAAAGAAAAGAAGTAAAAAGATAATCTATCTATAGCACGGAAGAAAATTTTTACAGATAATGTGTTTGATTTAAAGTTTAGAATAAAAATTTCTACAACTCAATAACAAAAGGACAAAAAAGAATGAAAAATAAGCAAAGAACTTGAATAATGACTTTGCCAAAGGGATACAAATAGTCAATAAGCACATGAAAAGATGCTTAACATAGTGATTGGGAAAATGTAAAAGTCTCATTGATATAGCTACTGTAATGACTATAGTTTTTAAAAACATGAATAAATGTTGGTGAGAATGCGGAGAAACTGGACCCTCAATCATTGCTGTTGAGAATATTAAATTGGGTATCTATTATGAATAACAATTTGATGGCTCCTCAAAAAGTTAAACATAATTACTATATTCCCCAATAATCATGCCCCTAGTTATACATCAAAATAATTGAAAACAGGACTTAAATGGGTATTCATATACTAATCTTCATCACAGAATTATCAGTGAAAAATCAGAGATGATTCAAAGTACTCCTCAACAGATGAATGAATAAATAAAACATGATATGTAATCATATATTACTCAGTAATAAAAAGGAGCAAATGAAGTTCATCCAACATAGGTGAATGTTGAAAACATTATGCTAAATAATCCAGACATAAAGAGGAAAACATTAGATTTAATTCAATTTAAACAAATGTTATAGGTATACGGAAATTAAGAAGGGGGAAAGGAGTTATTGTCCAATAGGTATACATTTTCTGTCAGAAATGATGAACACTTTATAGAAATATACAGCAGTGATGGTTACACAGCATTGCAAATAAAATTAACTACACTGGATTATACAATTAAAATAGCTAAATCATAGAATAATTTTACTTGTCTTATACCACACTAAAAAACTTTCAAGTAAAACAAGACCTGTATGGACAAAGAAGTAACAAAAAAGCCAAGCCGCCCATCATATAACATTGAATGTATTCGGCAGTCATAGCCTTCCTGCAAGGGAGGTGTACAAAGGCAGTTGTGATCACATTAACTAGGACTTCCTGCTATTTGCATGCCCAAGTTCACAACCTTTAATGGAAGCTCTCTCAAGATTCCTCCTGTTCAGAAAATCCAGAGGTACCATATAGAACACCACTTCAATCACTAATTTTTTTCTCACTTTGTATTTCCCGCTTACACTTCACTTTATCTACTGCCAAGAGGCACACCATACTACACAGAACTTCAAATGAAGCAGACATGATTAACTAAAGAGATGAAAAACCTCACAATAAGCACAAGGTAGGTCAGGCTTCAATCTTGTCTTTTGGTTCCATGTGCCTCTTATATTGCGGTCATCTATCTCCCCAAGGTATCTAGTGATTCTAAAGATAAATATTTGTAATATATGTGGTCTCTAAAATGCAAGACAGCTTATTCTACCAGAATAATAGAACAAACAAATTTCAAAACCAGTAAACTTTCATGGGCTGGGGTTGTGGCTCAGTGGTAGAGCACTTGTTTAGCATGTATGAGGCACTACATAAAAATAAATAAAATAAAATAAACGTATTGTGTTCATCTACAACTAAAAAAATGGAAAAAAAACAGTAAACTTTCAAAAGTAATTGACTAAATAAGGTTTCTAAGTAATATGGCTTTTTATTTGCTGACTTTAGATGACACAAGCTCCATTATATGACTTTCCTTGCAACCCTCACTTTGCCTGAAAGTGCCTACAAATTCCATGGCATAACAGAAGAGCATTCACATCCCTCTTGCAGCCTACTCAAAAGAGAAACTACCCATTTTCACACAATCCATCTGCTTCCTATCTGCAAGTCAGGAGGAGACATTCTACTGTTCTAATGTCTTACTTATTCTTTGAAGTCTCTCCCATTGGCTATAATATACACAATACCCTACTGTTACTCTCTCTCTACCTTCACTACTGATCTTTCTCTTTACCCTAATTCTGACATCACTATGAGCCTATTACACATACTTGAGAATGAACCATTCAACATCTCAGGGGTTTCTAATACTTGCCCCAACATATTAATTAGAATTATGTTTGCTATAAATGTGCATTCTCCTTCTCTACACCCAGAGATTCTAGGCCAGTGGTACTGATGCAGGTAGTCTAAAGAACACAAAACTGTCCTCAATTTTCAATTTCTGAAATCCTAAATGTAATTAACTTCACTTCTTCTCAGTAACAAAAGAATCACCACCATGTTTGGAACTAGCTGACACCTAAAACTGTTGCCTCTCAGATCACAAGCACTGGTCCTTTCAGTTTATTTACTCATTCCCACAACTGCTAATTTTGGAGACCTCCAGCTTCTTGACCAAATCCTTTTCTTTATCCAGTTCCTGATCTCATTTTCTTTCCTGCCCAAATTGGAACACAGTTTCTTAACCCCTAAATCCCTCACAGCCTTGTCTCTCATCTATACACTCCACATATCCCCATCTTTGCATAAATCTTACAATGAAGTAACATCTCAACTTCTATGCCTTTATCACCTAATTGTTGATGGAGGGGGGAAAAAAAAACCCGCTTACCTCCACTCTCCCTTTCAACCAACCATACCAGAGTGTGCCAATTTTTATTTCTAACACCTCTGAAATCTATTCTGTAACCTCCTATCCATTACTAACACCTTAGTTTAGACCCATTTCTCACCTGGAATACTCTTCACAGAAACTGGCTTGCTTCTATTATCACCCTCAAATTCATTCAGTGATAAAGGACAAAACAGACCAAATTCCTTCCATACCTGAAGCCCAATATTGCCTCCCTGGTCTATAAAACAAAGGCAAAGCTCCTATAACAAAGGCCTTAGTGATCTGAACCCTAAACAAACAACTCTCTACTCTTTTTTAACTCTGATAACCACCATCATAGATTAGTACTCCAGTTATGCCAACTTACTCATCTTCCAACCCTCCACTTATCATTTCCTTTTACCTGATATAGCATATTCTTTTACAGTTTCTTTTATGCCTATTTGTTCTTCAATATATTGCTCAGGAATAATTATCCCTACCCTTTCTTTTAATTGCCTCCAGAAAGTCAAATGTTCCCTCTTCTCTATTTTCTGTTTTTCTTAAAATATTTTCCATTATTTTTCAGTGGTGTATTATAGTTGTATAGAAAGGTGGGATTGTTACATATTTTGGTATGTTCTTCTATTACTGAAATTATCACATGCACTGAGAGTATTAGTTTTCAAAGTCTGATTCCTCT